TACTCTCTATCATAATATTTGTGCTTTTATATTCATTCGATAAATAAATATTCACAATGGTTTTGATTTGGGCGTGCAACTTATTAATAATATGAATGTAATTAGAATAAATCTTCTTTCTGTTGTTCATTCCCGTTACACGCAATATCAAATGTTTCCACTGAAACTGTCCTCAGTTTTCATAATGATTGCACATAAAGATAGACATGCATCCGTTTGAGTTGCTTGCTCATAAATTTTAACCTCATAAACTTGATTGTTTTGGGATGTAATTACCGAAAACGGCCCTACACAGTGGTGAACGAACGGAAAACAAAAGGGGAGGAGTCGAGGTAATTAGCTCGGCATGAAACCACTAAACCTAACAATACAGCATAATATATGAACCGCTCGTTGTCAACTGTCTCGATAGTACTGTGTGCTATCATAATTTGTTTCGAAACGCTGTTTATATTGTGGATTCTCGATGAAAAGGTTTATAAAACATTCATTCATTAACTTTCAATACTTCAAAACTAATCATTATCAGTGCTTATTCGATGCGAATCCAAAAACACTGGGGCATCAGCCACGACAAATTGAGTGTCATCAATAGTTAGAACATTCATTAATTTTTTGGAGAGATTGGAATGTGGCGAAAGAAGAAGACGCTGCAGAGAAGGCTCGTTGACACGAGAGAAGCGATTCTTACGATCGACAGCACATGTCGAAATGCTGGTGCAAAGCGGAGTTGAAGATGGTCATGCAGGAGATAAAAGGGATGTTCTGGTGCCGATATATGCAAAATTATCAGTAATGTTTATTGCCAGTTCAGATCAAGCATCACTTCCTCGTCATATCAATCTCATCTGTTGTTTCTTATGAATCTTATTCGCAGCATCTGTATCCATCCAATCCAGCATGCTTCCCACGAGAATCGCACAAATTCCGCTTGTTCCACGTCGCTCGATGATACTTTTGTTTTGATTCAATCACTCTTTAGTGCTGTCGATCAACAAACTTCTTCATTCAATCTCATCTCTTTGAAAAAGAGCAGTGGCGTCACACATTTGTTTCAGTGACTCCTCATTCAACAACGTGACTCGAATCTGGGATATCTTTTGTCATAATCCTTCAAAAGACACATATAATACCATTTTGGCACAATGATAAAATCTTGCTAAGCTTGCTTTCATCACTTATTTCATTGGCTCTACGCATTAATTGAATAATGCATGAGAAACAAAAAATGTTGAATTTTAATAAAGAAAATTCATTGTTCTCCTCATTCATTTATAAATCTCATCTTTCAGGATAAGTCGTTGAAACTGATTTGCGAAAAGAAATTGAGAACAGAATCACGTGCAAGAGTTATTAACAAAAACAAATCGAATCATCAGTCACAACGTTTCCGCTCTGGTTTGCATCTGTTTTTCATTCTCTGACATTTAACAGACTTAAGCAATTGCATCCTTTCTATTTGTTCTTCTTTTCACTTCAAATATATAGTGAACAAATAAGTTTGCGTCACAACATGCTATTTGCAATTTTTCAATATTTCGACCCAAACTATTACATTTTTTTTATTTTGTTTGCGTTCAACCATTTATATAGTTTACTAATGCCAAATTTTTGTTGTAAAACTGCATTTCTGCTGAAGTTTATCACACTAGGGCTTTGCGTAAGGCTAATTTATACCTAGACAGCAAATTCCTTAGATATGATAAGAAAGTAATAATCTGCTATATGGAACAAAAACTAACGTTGTGGGACTGGAGTGAAAAATTGTTGAAATCGGTAATTGCAAACACTGTTCTATGTGGCTAAATGCATAGTATTTTTAATGCGAAGATATTGAATGCGGTTTGTGTTCAACGTTGTTTATTTATACTAATATGGCAGATGTCCGTCAAAATTAAACTTTATTGCTTCAAGTTGCAAGAAAAGAACCACTGAACTGCGCGATATGGCACAACATTGAAAGATGATATCGCATCAGTCACCAATTTCAAAAAATAAGCTAGATTGAATGACTTTCTAAATTTTGCAATAAATGAGTTTGGGAAGATTTAAAGTGCGATGTTTTTAAATTTGGATGCTCGGTCGCTTAACCGAGTTGCTCATGATACAAGCAGATGGTTTCACTGAATCAATATGATTAAGTTTGCTCATCACTTAGTCATTCGATCTCATTCTTCAACGAACGATATTTATTATTCAATAAAAGCTTGCCTATGCCACATTTTCCACTGGCTAGGCGTCGGTTATTCACCATCCTTAAATGGTTTTTCTTGAAGTAAGAATGTATCCGAAAGGTTACTTCACAGTAAGATTACATCTTAAATTGCATTTGAACCAGCTAGAGATCTCGAAGTGCGTTAATTGGTGCAAATTTTGATTAATATTATTGAGTGCCAATTAAGGTTGTGCCCGAATATCTTCGATATCAAATCGAATAGCAATCGCGAAACGTCTTAGTCCAGTTGGTGGCGTTATTCGACAAGGTGAACGTTGGTTTTTGAGTGAATATGCGTTCGGCTATAGCATTCTAGAATACGCCAATCAGTCGTCACTGAAGCATTCGCGTCCTTCACGAGTGCACTGGTTCGAAAATGCACCGCATTTCGATGGTACTGATAACGCGATTTGTGATAGACAATTATTCTACTATTCCAAGTCGTTGAAGCGTCTTTATGCGCTACCGTTACAGCATTTCAAATCACGCTCATCCTCTTCCTCCTCGTTACCCTCCTCACCACCATTCGATTCAAAATATCCTCTTCGCAGTATTTCTATTCCACCGTTTAATTCAACACCAAAGGTTAGTAGCACTTATGTACAATATACTGCTCATTTTGCTTGCTTTTAAATTGTTCAACATTTTATGCATTACACCTAACTGTGCTATCGTTAAAACTAATCCATGAAACCGTCAATCAAAACAGGAATATTATTTGCGGATTATTTTGGGATGGCAATATCCCACCGCGTACATCATTTTGCAGCGAACTGTTATATTATTATAGTTTGTCATTAAACGATCGCCTTTATTGCCATCTGTCATTCTTTCGATCTTAAACGTCCTATCTCATCATGCTTTAAGCTCATTTCTCGTAGCTTTACCTCCATTGATTTGTTATTATTGCACAATGTCAATCTCATTATTACAACAACAACTCAAATATTCTATCTTTCATCTATCAAATAAGCCATTCTTGGAAACACATCAACCATTTTTTTCGTTTATTCCATATTCTTGTAGTGATGCATTACCAATTTCAGCAAATCCCAACGATCTCATATTCATTCGAAGAAAAACGCCTTAAAAGGGACTGAATCATTTCATATCTATTCAGCTCGGAAACTGGAAGGTTCTCAGATATATGGTGAATATGTCTGAGAATGATTGAGATTGCTGAGTTTAAACTATTCATTAGTGAAACTGTTTTGATTTGATTTTCAGCCAATGCTTTATGCTCATTCACTGTCATTGGTGGATCTGGAGAGCGAATACGGGCATGTATGGGTATTGTATCGGACTGATGCTTTTTTGAAGGTGATCAAATTGGAATGCTCTACAATGGTGATCATTCGCCAATGGACACTTCGAGAAATTTACCCCAAAGAACTTGTGAATGCTTTCGTTGCTTGTGGCTTTCTCTATACGATCACTCAAGAATCCGATAAGAATGTGATTCATGTAGTTTATGACTTTGATAATGATGTTTACGTGAAACCATCCAAACAAATTGGTCACTGGCGAAGATACGGCATCGGAACGCCGTCAAACGCCCAATACGATTCCATTTCGAAAACAATCAACATTTTTGATAGCGGTCTTATACATTCAATTGCCACGAAACAATGAGTCATGGTCATTCGACCAATTATAAGTACCACTCATCAAATTACTAATCGGATGATATTGTTCCAGTCTTTTTAAATACGTGCTGCCATGGGTTGAAATGTTCAGCCATTTATATGTGGATGATCTCATTGATGTATTGCTATTTTCAGTAATGTTAATGTTCATTTAAATAAACTAATTGCTTTTGTAGCTTGCATCGAACGCTGATTGTAATAACAACTGACAATGTTTCAGGGAAAATGCCAATCTGGATGGGAATAATGCGCATGAAAGATGAATATTTATTTTCCGGGGTTGGCGCTGAATGTAATGAAAACTTTATTT